ATACGGATCTCTATTCAGAATTATTAAACGGAGCAAAACACAAATTATGCTTAAAGTAAACAAAAACATTTTGAATTTATCGAATGTGGTGATCTGAAGGCAGCTCAACATCACAAATGAACAGTTCCTCTGTCAGTAAGTGCTGATGCCATATGTACAGTATATAAACACCACTAACCATTGCAAACTTCTATAAAACACGCTTCATCAGTGAGTGTCCATAAAAAACTTGCCAGACATGCAACCATACTGAAATGTGCTCATAAAGTTATCAGAGAGCGCACATACACAGTGTCACGAATCCGGTCCATGAACTTTCCTTTTCATTGACTCTCGCACCACACAAACTGTTGCATAGCACCCCGGACTACATTTCCGTCTGTTCGTTTGCACATTAATAATAATGGACTCGCGCGTGTCTAATAATGTACGACTCTTGTACATCACTGTAATCTCCTTTACCTCCATTACAATCGTCATCCATCAACGCGTCACTGGTAAAATACTGGTTTGCTTCATTCAGCCCATGCAGACTAGTCCTGACTTCATATTTCTTATTAGAGGTATGTTTGTTCCCACCAATCTCTGGACAAGTTAAGGTTACTTATGATGATGAAAGCACGTTAGTGTGAACCCTCCCGGAACTCACAGAAATTGCATTGCAGTCCCTGCAGTTTGAAAAAAAAAAATCTTTGTATGAAAGTCTATGACTGTATCCAAAATCGTCCCCTATACCCTCTAATATGGCACTGTTTGAGGGGACAGCCATTTTTAGTGGTGTCCGAAACCATAGTGGACGTTCTCGAGTGCACTCATTCAATCCCATAATGCACCGCAAAAATGAGTGCACAACCGCCAGAAGATGGCGTCTGCAGCTGAATGATCCATCCATTCATTTTACAAAGCGCTCGTCCATGGCGTAATACTACGGTGACGCATTGCTGCCACACACATATTATTTTTTCCACTCAATTATGTCGTAATAATGAGATGTTTTCTCGTTAAAATGACATCTTTTCTCGTAATAACGAGATGTTTTCTCGTTATTATAGATGGGCTATATGGTACATTATGAGAGCGAGCTAGGTGACTGTCAGCTACAGTCTGACATAAACGAGGATCTGCACGCTGCTGAAATTATTGAAATACACTGTTTTAAATGTATTTTAATGTAATGGTTTTAATTGTAGCAGCATGTTTATTAGGATTAATCTCCAATCTGTCTACAATATAGTGCTATCCAATAACTGCACGCAGACTCATGACTCCTTTAGGCTATGATCAGATCAAAACTGGGCTTAATATTTCTTTATTTGAATGACTGAAGTTTGATTTAACAACAAATCGAAATACAAAAAAAAAGGAATAAAGAGATTAATTCCCTTTGTAATTGACCGTATGCATGGAGCGTTCTTTTGAACTTCTGCATAAAGTTAAGCCAGCTCGTAAACTTCCGGTGAAGCTCATTTGATGTTGGGATATATAGGTAGAGACTCTAAGTTGAGACCCTCACAGAAACCTCTCCTGCCACTAAATATTGTAGAAACTTAATTTGCTGTAAAGTTGCTTTGCAATGATTTGTATCGTGAAAAGAGCTGTACAAATAAACTTGAATTGAATTGTTCTTGTCAGAAACTGAGAAACAATCTAATTGCAACACTGTAAATAATGATAACGGCTTTAATATACAGTTTCATGCTATAATTTTATATGCCAAGCCTGGTAATCCCAGGAGAGTACCTAGACACATATGTGTACATTGAAATGCTGACAACTAAACACTATCCTAACTGTTTAGGCTAATGTTAGCTAGCTAGCGATGCTATCTCGTTAACATCATCATAATGGTATTCTTGATAATCAGTAACTTACTTTATTACTTTTTTACCACTTATAATATTTTAAAGCCTTTATTATTTCTCAACTCTACAGCTGTGGCGTAAAATTCACTGTAAAGATTCATTTTTTTTATGAAGATGACATTAAAGTGCAAGAGGTCACAAAGTCTCATGTCATTTAAAAATAAATAAATATGATTTTGACAGTTGACCAGAAACGAATGAGCTGGCTTATCTAAAACCAGGAAGTAATCATGCACATGGTCAATTACGTTGCAGTTTTGGTGTATTTTATGGTTCTATTGTCAGTCACAGCATGTCAGAGAAAATGCCTTTTGTGTCTCATGGCAAACATTACGTGATAAGTAATAACTAAACAATTGCAGAAATACTGTTCATTTTAAGGGTTTAAAGTGTAGACTTGTTTAACATTATGTATTCGATTCTAAATACATTGAAGGAGGAAGGAGATTCAGCACGCGCAACATGAAAGCCCTGTTTAATTATGATAGAAGAGTGAACTAAACATTCAAACATCTGCTTACACCTGTGGTTGTTTTAAGCTAATTAAATTTTTTTATTTCGATTTTGGCTTCTAAGGATTATACAAAAGAAGACATGAGGTAAAGCTATTAAAAACTAGCTGCGTTTCGTATTGTGCAACTTCTTTCCCTTCACAGCGGTGCGCATTAGTTCCTCCCTAAAACCCAAACTTAACGTCAGAATCAGCTCAATCGGTGATTGTTGTAAGATGCCGTCTTTACTGTTGCTACATTGTGGGACATGTTTGATAATAAAACGTTCTCGATCCCGGGTTTCGTCCATGGTGAAAGCCGATCCGGAGATCCACGGCACTAAGTTGATGTATTCCCTCAGCGACCAGCACGGATCAGCTCTAGGCATGACGAAGCGGATATTGTCCTCTTTTGGAAGACCAAACAAAGTAGTTTCGCTTTCACAACGAAGCACACATCATCTTCAGGACATGGCGGAAAGTGGCAACAATACTACAGTGAGAATAAAAGTTACGCCTTCTTTCTTTGCGTGATCATTTGGGTGGCGTTATGCAAATCTTCCCACATAGTGAGGTAGACATGTGGGGGTGTGTTAGAACGAGCCGTTTTAGGTAGGTGTGGCTTACTCTTATGTAGCGTCTGAACCAGTCAGACACACCATTTTTCATTTGATTTAACAAATCAATTA